AATGCTTAGATATTCATGAAGAGACTTTCGTTAGAAATGCTCATATGATCAACACCCCAATATTTTGGAAGATTACACATATAATTAATTAATTATAATTTCACTACAAAAAGTCACACATGCCATTCTCCAAAAACTCATCTTATAAATTTACCTTTTAAAAGTATCTAAGAAAGAAACAAAAACTTGAAAAGTTTACCATTCAACTTTTCTCAAAACTAAAATACTGTAAAACCCAAAAGGTCAAATTTTATAAAACTAGCAAGCAAAACAAAGCAAAAAAACCTACAAACCAAAACTCAAAAACTAATTTTTTAATAAAACGGAGAAGGAAGCGGATGCTAGTATTGTCACCATGCAGCTACAAGGTGATATTGTATCAGACAACTCAGTTTAATCTATTTCACTGATCATATCAACATTCAAATTGTGTAACTATCTAGGAAAATAATGGATTTTTTTTTTTTTTTGAAAAACAAAATTACATATATATTTTTATAGAGCTAAAATAATCCAATTACTCGAGGCCATGAAAGCACATGATTTTATTTTTAAATGAAAGCACATGGTTTACATTTATATTTTAGTGACTTTGCGTAAAACTACTTGCCATAAGCTAGTCATTATATGAATAGTCCGACTCTACCGAAAACCATGCATTTATTACACCGAAAATTTGGTCTTCTTAATTGTGTGTGTATGTGTTTTGGTTATTTCCTGGAAATTAGAGAATTATTAGGGTTATAAATAGGTGATTTGTGTAAAGAGATTAAGAAAATTATCAAAGAGAGAACAATGGAAAAGAAGAGGGCTTCACAATTGGGAGTTGTGTTGTTTCTTGTTGTGGTTCTTTTGGTCCCAACCCAAACCGAGTGTGTTCTTTCCTCTCAACAAGAACCAGTCCAAATAAACGGTAAGTGTGTCTCTCACATATGCAGTTTATTGAACAAATCAATAAGAAAACAATCATTTCCTAATCTAGAATTTAAAATAAGAAAAAAACTATTGAAGATCTTTTTGGTAGAAATAGCTGCAAATTATGCACTTTTCATCCGAAATCCCTTATTTTC